ATCCATATGGCTGATATGCTGAATTTTTTCTTCATATTAATCATATACGTACTGATTGTGTGTGAATTCGATGACATGTCCCTTAATGTATTGAATTATGGTAATTAGTACGCTTGCATCAATCTCTATTTATTATTGTACTTAATAGCAAGAAAAGTGGTTTCAATTTAAAGTTATTCTAATTTAATGTTTGTGTACGTAATAAAACAATAGTCGATCTTTGTCATTTAAAATATACACTGAAGAGAGCCAATACATTTTTACTTACCCTCACCTAGAGCAATGAGCTCGCCTAGAGACAAAATCAAGGTGAACGCACAGCTGTCTTCCCATTCTTAGAGTATTTGACGACATAATGGAAAAACAGGTAATTTGTCAGATTTTCATAAAGGTCTAAATCATTACGGATTGGCGCCTGGAAACGTTTCTCAGATTGCGCATTTGGTGGATAGCTCACGTGCAGGGATGTTTTAAGACTCTTTGAGGCCCTGGGCCCAGAGAAATCTTAAGATTTTTGAGGCCCCGGGTCCCTATCAAAAGTAGGCCCTACCTGATATCTTTAAAAGTAGACAGTATATAGCAGAGGTTCCCAAACTTTTTTGTCTCATAGACCCCTTGTCATGCTTTTTGGTTTGGGGTAGACCCTTGCTTACCTAATATTGATTTTTATGCAAATTTACCAATTTTAATGTCTTTTTGATAGTTGGTATAGATCTACTTTCTGTAAGCGTTTTGACTGAAGTGAAGTATGGTGTTCAAATCTTAAGAAATCCATATTATTTTTAAATTAAAATTTAATTAATACATGAAATAACTGAGCAACAAACAAATGCTTTTAAAGGCAGGAATAAATTTGGAGCTTCAATAACAATTTTTCAACATTTGGAATCAATCGTGTCAAGTTTAACACTAGATCTCCTCGATTTGGTTTAATGAGAGCCACCATCCTAGACCCCCATTTACACTTCATGGACCCCCAAATTATTTTTTCGCTGACGCGGACCCCTTGCAGGTCGTCATAGACCCTGGGGTTCTATATAGACCACTTTGGGAATCACTGGTATATAGCATGCATTGTCAAATACTCGTTCAAACGGTAATGTGAAGCAGATGTGCACGACTCACAATCTCAAAAAAGTAGGCACAAACCGGGCTGCATTTCGACTGAAAAAGTTGAATGATTGTTTATGGCATTAGGCTTGGGCCTAGCCATGGACAACGTCATCACATAATAATACAATCTTACCACTTTTGCCAGTTGACATGCAGTTTGAAATTCCCTGTTTTTCGGATAATATATACGGGAACAATAGTAGACCATTAAAATTATCCGGATCATGATCTTTATAAGAGAGTCGAAAAGGATACGAGGCTCCCACCGAGGTTAAGGCCCTGGCCCCGGGCCCAGTTGGCCAATGCCTTAAGACATCCCTGCTCACGTGCAGTCATTGTGAATACTTCTCGATCATTGTGTATGTATAGTGAAATGACGTCATTGACGAGTAGTTTGTCAGCAACTACGAATTGATTCTAGAAGAGAACGGAGATTGTTACGCATTGTCCATTATGACCGAAAGGCTGAAACGACCATTATCACCAACAGCTACACTAGTCGTAATCTCAGACGGATGTTTCGACACACAGTGTAGCTTACATTGTTGCTCATACACCCTGGAATATCAGCATTGATAAAAAAAAAATTATGCGTAGTGATCTGGTCCGACCTAATTATGTTTTCTGGTCAATCACATTCACGAGTGAGTGAGAAAACACCAATTCATAATGGAAACCCTGACCCCTCAGTGTACAATTCTTCTAATACAAGGCGGTGGCGATGGCATTATGATGAGGGCTATGTTTTCGTGGAAAAATCGCGGACATATGTTGTCTATGTAATGATCTAGCAGACCAAGTGCACCCCTTCATGGCAATAGTGTTCCCGGTGAGTGATAGCATTTACCACCGGGATAAAATAATACATCATATCATAAGGCCGAATCGCGAGGGAGTGGTTCTGGTGAATTTTAAAGTCATGCCTTGTCCTCCGAATTTGCATTATATGAATCCGATCAGACATTTATGGTTCCACATGAAAAAACCGAATTCCTGCCGCAACACTACCACTTGAAAATGGGCGGGAATTTCTGGACCAGTTGGTGAATACCTGACACTGGATACCTCAAACTACCTTTCAGCTCCTTGTAGAGTCAATGATTTACTAGGTGTTGGTAGTTCTGAGGACAAAAGGTGGTGCTATTATGTCGGTGTATATGGAATTACGGACTTTTAAGTGAATATATAAAATTGCATTTCTTTTTTCAGAAGTTGTTTATTTAATCAAAATATGATCCATTTGCTTCAATACACCTTTTCAAAACCCTGTCATGGAAATTTTTCAGACCATCTTCATTTTTATACTGTTTAACCGGGAAAAAATCTCCTAAATGTTTATCAAAATGAAGATCGGTAGGCGAATGGTCCAACGAATAAGCTGGATGCTGCAAAATTTCATATTTTAATTAATTTAATTTTCGCTACTGTTTTGCACAACGTATGCGGCCAAGCGTTGTCGCGGATGGTTCATGCTGATTAACATGTGACGTGTGCATAGTTTTCCATGCATTGCATCAATGTGCAGTTAGTTTAATGTATACAGTTGTATTTGTATCCACATCATTGCTTTCAGAGCATCATTTTGCACAGTTGTTTTTGGTCTTACACACGGTTCATTCTGTTGGGAAACATCACCAGATTGAATTTTCAAACCAGGGCCGCACTTTTCAAAAGTTAACAGTATTCTTCCCGAAAGTTTGGTTTATATTGCATGCAGCTTTTGCAGCATTATTACCAAATTTATACTTATATATATATATATAAAGTTACGCGAATGAGTTCATATCGTTACGAAATTCGAAAAAATAAAACAAAATGGAACACTTTTTTTTTAAAAAAAATTTTTTAAAACATGATTCTGATGATGGATAATATGGTTATAAACGAGGTTATACCAAAAATAAATGAATCCTACCTGGGGAGTAGAAATATTAACGTCGCACCAGCTACACGAGGACTTTGGCGACGGACCACGAAATTTTTGAACCATGGTCAAGTGACGGGGACGACATCGAGCGGCCCCCTCCCAACACCAAACACACCAACGGGAGAACTTACCGTGCTCTATATTCTGAGGTTGTAATTTATGAATCAATAAATAGTAACAAACAAAGGTAGTAGTCCAATACCTTATATCGAACGGAAAATCGCTTTCTATCTTTAATATTGTGATTCTGCCCTATGCGTATACATACTTATATTAATTGTAATTATTTAATAAAAAGTAACTAAAATAAAATTTTTCTTTGCTGACTTAAGTAGGAATTTACTTAATTCTTTTTTTTATATTACTTTTGTTCAACTTAAGTCAGTGCTTCTCAAACTCTCATTCTTATGACCCACTTTTCAGTCATACTTCCATCGCCCCCTCCTTCTCCATACAATAACATATATACCCTATACTTTGATGCTAAAGCTACAATACGACTTTAACCTCTAAGTCCCAATTGACGTATATGTTCATTGGTCAGCCAATGTATTAATTGGTCTCGACGTATATATACGTCTTTCCGAAGTGCACGATCTTTTCTGTGAACTTCTATCCATAGAATGATTCCGAAAGCTTTGTAATGCAATAAAATGTAACTGACAGGCTTGCGAAGGATTTACGTATTTCAGAGGATTTGCTTTTTATTCCTCTTTATCCCTCCCTCCCTCCCCTTCCGATACATTCTCTATACGCACGCCTATATGAAAAAACAGTGGTATTGGGGAGTGAACCGTATAACTTTTAATTCGGCAGTTGAAGTAGATTAATTATAAAACCGTACAAATTATCAAGATAAGTGTTAATTTTGTATATGACAAGTCCATGGAGTCATACAGGTAATTATTAAACTTGCTCTAAACTTAATATTGTTCACTACTTATAAAATACATCCTGAAGTACTGATATGTTTATAATTGTATTATATTAGTATAAATGGTGTATTTTATTTTTTTGCATATGCCAGAATGTATTTTTGTTTGTTTACTTTCAGCAAATTACAATTTTTTTTTTAAAACAATCTGTTTTCGACTTTTAATATCCTCACGCCCCCTTTGTGAGTGCTATCACGCTCGCCTAGCGCGCCCCCCATTTTGGAGAAATGGTGACTTAAGTACATTATTCTGAATGGCATTAAAATGCTTAGGAACTCTGTAAGAAATCCTTTATTTGCATGGATTTGCAATTCAAAAAAATTTAGGAGTCGTTCTTGCTTAAATATAAATTTTTAATGTCGATAACGTGTTTAGCCTCTGTTCGCCTTTGTGTTTTACCCCTCAAATGAAAAAAAGGTGCATTTCCTTTAGAAAACTATTCAAACAAAAGTAATACATTAAAATTAAAAGAATATAAGATTATTTTTGTTGACTTTAGTAAACAAATAGAATATTCATAATATAGAAAGTAGTACATATGAAGAAAAGCGTTATAATATTTTTTTATTAAATTATAATAAAAGTTTATAAAAGTATTACGCAAGATAAATTTTTTATGTTTTCGACCCCAGCCCAAGTCGGTTGGGTTTCATGATACAGAAAATCGACAGTGTCGCATGATTATGCGGCATGTAAAAGATCTATTGAGTGCCTCTTTGGCTGTGGGTGCTCAATGGCAAAATTAAAATTTAAGTACGGTTTCGTAGGTGCTTTCCTCTGGGAGGTAACTGGCGTCGTACTATCTGCGGCAATCGATATCCGCCTATAGAACACGCACTCAACAGAGATGGCAGCTGCAATAACGAGCGCGATTTAAAAAATATAATACACGCATGAAGAGATTTTTTATTGCTTGTTTTCGTTTTTTATCAAAACAATTTTTTCCGAAGAATTTCCCCAATATTATTAGGAATAAAATTTTAAATTTTGTAATTAAATAAATAAAAAGAAAAAAAAAAACCCACTGACCCGGACGTGATTTGAACACGCAACCTCATCTTGGAGTCAGACGCGGCTACCGTTGCGCCACCAGGCCACGCAAAGCAGATAGTTGTTTAAAGTAATGAACAATACAGAATTCTGATTTTTTTTCTACTTATTAATCATTGTTTTTAATTTTTTTCTGAAAAATAATTGGTTTTCTTTCAATTAAAATAATAGATTTCAACAGTTACAAATTTTAATGCATTTTTATTATTATTATGAATACATTTCACTGAAAAATCGATATGTTTTAATATTGATTCAATGTAAACCATTTTCGCTTTGAAAGGAAAATTGGTCAAGTATTGAAAAACCATAGCATCTGACCCACTGGCGTAGCTAGCTCTGTATCAAAATTCCTTCGAGACCCTTTTTTAGATCTCGAAGCCTTGTTAACGGCACTGTAGTTACACATGTTGGGGCCCCTGTAGCTTGGAAGCCCCGTATCATTGATACGGCTGATACAGCGGTAGCTACGCCCCTGATCTGAGCATTAATTGAATCAAACATTACGAATTTAAAACACAGCTTTTAAATTTAACAAAACTCAATTACTCTCTAACTATAAACTCACGAAATAAATAATGCCTCAGATAACTTTATAAAAGCATGCCTGTGTGGCTAATTTTTTAAAAAAATTTGAGGTATCAGTATCCGTTTGGTTGAGTGGCGAAAATGGTTAAACAATCGTCAAAGCTCAGGGGCCTCCCTCTGGTGAGGAAACTGAGCGTCAAAATTACTTGCGGTGAATGATCTACCACCTATACGGTGCCGCACTAAAAACAGATACTAGCTCCCGGAGAATGCACTAGGTCTGCAATGGTAAAGCACTAATCCACAGCCTCATTAGAAAAAATAATAAGTTAAATATGTATACAGTGAATTTTCAATTTTAATGATTGGGAGATGAGCTTTAGATACTTGTGGTTATTCAAATTTCATAAAGAACATTTTCCATTTGCATACACATTTATAATTATTTTCTTTTTGAATAATTATTGTGACTCGTAGAACCCCGGGGATACATGGAACATATTTTGAAGAGACGACTGCTGTATATTAAATAGGCGGCCATAGTGTAATGTCTTCTCAATGTGTGCGTGTGTATTACAAAATAATAAACTAATCCATTGTCCATCGCAAAATTTAGAATTGAACAAAGTTAAACTTTTCAATCAAGAGATTCGAAGTTCTCTTGGTAGTTCCATTTCTATTAAATGGTAGTAATTTAGTTTCGCTTTTTTCTTGTGTCAATAACAGTAATTGAATGAGGTTAGTTTTTCATCTAATTTGTTCAGCAACCGCTTTTTTTTAATGTAATGCTTTTTATGAAAGTTTACTGCAAAATTTCACAGCAGTTTGTAAAACAAAATGCAGCTAAGATGCTGATAAATGGATTAATAAAGCAAAAAATTCAAATAATCCAAACACTTGACATATAACAAAAACAGCCTCATTGTGAAAAAAATCAAAAGTAATCTTCCAGTAAGCTTCCAGTAATTGAAAGAGCTTAGAGCATATTTTTGTTTATTGCATGAAAAATTCTTGCTCAATCTGATTGCTTTCTCAATATTTTGAATAATTTTTCAACATTATTTTGAAATTATTCTTTTCTCAATAATTAATTTTTCTCAATGCAATTACGAAATATATAATTTTTTTTCATTTATTAGGAAGAATAATCTTTCATTTACTTAAAAGTAATTTGTTTTCATCTTCAAGGAACATTCTGAGTTTACTTTTGAGAAATATTAAGAAATAGCATCAAAATTAATGAGCTGAAACAACTTTTACCTTTCTTTGAATACTTTTAATCATTAAATAATTATGCTGAAATAGTGTGATCCTGTTTCAAAGGTGAATTTGTTTTTCCACAAAAAGTATTATTTAATCATAAACAAGATTTTTATTCAGGAAAGAATTATAATTTTTTCATTTTTTTCAGGTTACATTTATTTTCCAAAATTATTTAACTGTATTGAAAAATGTACATCATTATAATGTTCCTCTTTAATTATTGTAGTTATCTGACAGTTTTGTAGATAAAACAGTTTTTAGAATGCAACTGAATGGTTCTAATTGTTTTATTTTTTATGGAATACGACATGAGTTGCTTGAATAAAATTTAAATGGAGAGATAATTTTTTTTTTTTTTAATTCACCATACTTAGTTTGATCCGAAAGTTCTAGGACAAAATGCAGGAAACCTTGCCGTGAATAGTTTACAGCACCGAAGCGCATCCATCTTCAAAATAGTCCCCTTGGACAACGATACACTCACTTTCTGCCAGTGTTCATATAACTTCTGGGAGCAGAACTGAAAGCCATTTTTCGCAACCTACCGGAAAGCCTCCAGCGATGCTGCTTTCACCTCATCTGATGACACAAAACGGCATCCCTGTGAATGTTTTTTTTATAGATGGGAACAGGTAAAAGTCACACGGGGCTATGTCTGGTGAATAGGGGGATATGGAAGCATGTTAGTGCGAATTTTGGTGAGGAATTCTTTTACCAATGAGGATTGATGAGCTGGTGCGTTGTCATGCAAAAGATACCAGTTGTTACTCTGCCAGAACTGAGGCCGTTTACGACGAATGTATTCCTTCAAACGACGCCTTGAGAAATGTGTACCTTCAGAGATTTGAGGAAGTAAGACGACATCTGAAAACATTGCATAATTAGCGCAACATTTTCCGCGTTCCGTGAAGTCGGGTTAACCAACGTGTTCATTGCTTTGATGATAACGGCCTCTTTGAAAACGCCGAAACCATTCGTAAAGTATAGCAGATTCACTATAAATTTACCAGTACAATACCGCCAAAGTCTCCATTGTTTTTGTTTTTTTATCTAAGTGTTGACAGAATTTAATGTTCAACGCTGTTAAAAAAGCAATCTTTAGATAGCGGAACTAACTTCGGAAGATAACAGCTGTGCGTGTTTTACCATGATACGGACTAAACCAATCTGGCCAGGCAGGGGAAGTTTAGAAAAATCCATTTCTGCTGCTTTCGTCGTCAGCAATGGCCGCAGTCCCGTGTAAATTTTGTATCGTACTACGGATTTCTTTCGATCCCAAGCTCAGTTTAGAGATCAATTGTTCACACACACATTTCTTGTAAAACCTAAAAAAGTGCAAAATTACCAAAAAGGAAACGAGTAATGAAAGCGAAAAGGATTTGGAGTTTGAGAGGAAGCTTCAGCATTTTGGGAGCCAAAGACAGCGACACAGAAATGAGTCAAATACGTCAATTTGGCTTCAAAATTACTCCTTGTTTAAACAGAAATTGGTTGACCAATTACTGGACCAGTTGGACCTCATTTAACGAAGTCGCTAAACTCTCCAAAGTTCGTTTATATAGAGGTTCATTTTCTTTCAATATACTTTGGCAAGCCTCACATAAAACAAATTTTAAATTCATAAACACTATATATATATAAGGAACTACCACACCTTTTTAAATTATTTTATATCTTATCCATAAAAGAAAGCCGAAGAATACGCTGTATTTTCACATAAAAATAATTTTACATTAAAATTAATGAATTTAGGGACATTTTATAACTTAAAGCATGCAAGTAATTTTAAACATACATTATTTTTTAATATTGTATTTTATTTATTCATCTGAAGATGTTTCCCCATTGAATTGGACAATGGAGGTTAAAAGTTACACTTCTTTGATGAAACGCCCAGGATTCCATTGCTCTCGGTGAGTTAGGCACCTGATAAAACCAGTTCAAAATTTATGACCACCATAAAATGTGTTAAAAGAGAGAATAATTTGAAATGTCCAAAATTACTTTAAGAATAGAGAAAAAAAAAAGTGAATCAAAAGAGAAAATATTCATTATATAGAAAATGTACTTTGTTATTGGGAGGATGTTTAACGAAGAAAATCGTGAAATGTTTTTGGTTCCAAGAAAAAGTTCGCTCTACCGAAAAACTCGCAATATAGATATTCGTAACATGGAGGTTCGACTGTATTTAATTATAAATAAATAAATAACTTGTGAAACCACAAATTTGAATAAATAATTTATGATATCCCTTGATTTTTATCAAGGGATCCTCAATGTATTTAAAATATTTTCTTTTGAATTTCACTTTCTTATTGACAAATTAAAGAAGGAAACATGCCAGATTTGAAATCGCCCTTAACTGTTTTTTAAAAATTCTTGCTACTTTTTTTTGTAGAAGAACGTGCCATTTAGCATTTAATGTGATTTCTTTCCATTTGCGTAACATTAAACCTGTCAAAGGGAGGACGCATTCCATTGAAGATTTTTCATTAAAGTCCATTAATAATTACAGTCATAATTTTTTATATGGATTACAGATTTTACATTTTTACCATCCTTAAAATGCTATTACCATTATAACCATTTTACTACACATTCAACTAAAGTTTTCTATCTTTTCTTAAAAATAAAAAGAATAATTTTTGTGAAAAGAAGAATGGAATGATAATTTGAAAAAATTGTTAACTACGCGTACTATATTCCCTATTCTTTTTAATCTGTTTTAAAGAATTTCGTTTTAATTTTTGTTATCCACTAATAAAATCTACTAATTAGAATTTATAGCATAATGAGTTTAAATCTATTTTTTTTAGCAGCGACTTACATTTAATACTTTTCTGAAACTAAAATCGAATGTAAGAAAACAAATCTCATTTTACCAATACTTTTTTTAATTCCGAATCTTTTTATGGCCAAATATTTTTTCTTGTAAGCTTTTTTATCACATTTTTTTCGTAGTAAATTCAATTTATTACAAAAGTAATTTAATAGAGGAGCATTTTTTTTAAAAATTATTTTCAGCGAATCAGTAGCTAAAAGGTTTCCACAACCATGTTTTTCTTTTTCAGTTAGTAAATTATTCTTACTAAAAAAAAAGTCAATCCATATTAGTTTTTCATTATCCCTTCAACTAGTTTGCCCGTACGGGATACCGAAAACTGGCCACAACCGGTTTGCCCGTGCTCTACATGGGCACTGATATTTTCTTCTTTTTGTCTTTAATTTGAATACATTTTTGATTCTTACTGTGAG